GAATGGGCCTTTATTGGTGCTGATGGTGTACTTTGTGTCCCAGCTGGGGTGTTAGTGGTGATTATCATCTCTCAGGGCCGGCCGGAGGTCTGCCTGTTTGATTTATAGCTGGCGTGTACTCTGCTCCACAAATTCTACAGAAGTTTCTCTATGGGACTAGAGTTTAATCTAATCTAAAATAAGTTTGTAACTCAGTTTAATTACAGGAGAGAACAAAATGTGCCCTCTATAGGACATTTTAAAATGACATATTGAATGTAATTAGTGGTTCTTGCTTTAGGTTTATAGGATTAGAGATTTGAACAAACCCCAAACTCTTAAAGGGGTGCTATTATGCTTTTTCACTTTTTCAACTTTAGTTAATCTGTAATGTTGCTGTTTGAGCATAAAAAAGATCTGCAAAGTTACAAAGCTCAAAGTCCAATTCAAAAACAGATATTTTATTTAACAGAAATCACTTTTCAAAAACTACAACGAACGACTCATTTGGACTACAACGCATATTTTCCGGGATTTGTGACATCACAAAGATCGACGAATGGGACGAGACCTGGTTGAGCTGCACTAGAGAAGGCAACGAGTGTTAGCACTATGTCGTAGACACGCTAGCTTTCCAAAGGCAGATGAACTTAGAGTGATTACAATCATCCGGGTTTAAATCGCGCTCAAATTGATTTGATTTTGAGCAATATTTACACTGAAGCTCGCAGGCAGCTATAGTAAGGAGCATGACATTTCCCGACCAGGCGCCGAGTGCTGCCAATCACAACACACACTGGCCCAGCTAACCAATCACAGCACATTTCGTATTTCAGAAGGCGGGCCTTCATTTGATACAGGAACTATTCGAGCCGTTTATGCCAGACTGGGGAGAGAGGTGTTGTAATAATGTCAAATATGTGAAAAATAATGTGTTTTTCGAACAACCTAGTATGAGAGCCTGTTCTAGTACACCCCCAAAACAAAATCAAGACTTTGTAAAAGAGCATAATAAGACCCCTTTAAGTATTAGTATGTTGCCTCAAATCGTCCAGAAGTTATTTTACTTTTCTAAATGATCAGATGTACATATGTACCTGCATTGAAGGAGGAACCTGAGCCTTATCTAGAGACCAGAATGGAGTGAGGTCTTTTTTACTCATTAAACAACATGCTAAAAACAAGCTTGATTCTGATTCACAATCTCTTGGTTCGATTAGATTCTGATCTCGATTTGATTCGATATCAACTCATTTGAATCGATTCAATCACTTTGACAGGTATAGTTCATGTTATTTTTTAAAGAAAATAAATCTCTATCAACTGAAGCTGTAAAATAAATAGGAAAACCTGTCAGTTGGTAATCAAAACTCTACAAGGTTTTTTTTTTAATTCCACATGAGGCAGATTTTAGATATTACATTTGTTTCTACTCAAATTTATTGTTGATATATAAACTTTTAAATTGTAGCTTTAATAAAAACTTGTTTTCATGTTTTTCAGGCAGTGAAATTACATCCGAATTGTTTTAGACATTTTCACTCGCGAGTTTCAAATCAAATATAGCAGCACCAGTGGCGGCTCGTGGGTTTTAAAATAGAGGAGGCACACTAATTGTATTGATTGGGATGTATGGGATCCCTGCAGATTATTATTATTATTATTATTTGCTTAAGCACTTTAAAATGGCTTTTTTGTTGCTTTTAGTCAGAAAACATAAAGAAAACGACACACATACAGCAAGATAAAATAATTTAACTTACCTGGCCTATCACTTGAAGCAAACATCCATCCCTTCTTAAAAGTCTGTGTTAAAAGAGAGCTGCCTGTTGTGCTATTTAATTAAGCCGACTGCTGTAGTCTATATCCAGTTAGGAGTGTTTTCCCTTTTTTTATTTGTATATACATTGAACAAAATTATAAACGCAACACTTTTGTTTTTGCCCCCATTTTTCATGAGCTGAACTCAAAGATCTAAGACTTTTTTCTATGTACACAAAAGGCCTATTTCGCTCAAATATTGTTCACAAATCTGTCTAAATCTGTGTTAGTGAGCACTTCTCCTTTGCAGAGATAATCCATCCACCTCACAGGTGTGGCATATCAAGATGCTGATTACACTGATTGATTATTGCACAGGTGTGCCTTAGGCTGGCCACAATAAAAGGCCACTCTAAAATGTGCAGTTTTATCACACAGCACAATGCCACAGATGTCGCAAGTTTTGAGGGAGCGTGCAATTGGCATGTTGACTGCAGGGATGTCCACCAGAGCTGTTGCCCGTGAATTGAATGTTAATTTCTCTACCATAAGCTGTCTCCAAAGGTGTTTCAGAGAATTTGGCAGCACATCCAACCGGCCTCACAACCGCAGACCACGTGTAACCACACCAGCCCAGGCCCTCCACATCCAGCATCTTCACCTCCAAGATCGTCTGAGACCAGTCACCTGGACAGCTGCTACAACAATCGGTTTGCCTAATCAAAGAATTTCTGCACAAACTGTCAGAAACCGTCTCAGGGAAGCTCATCTGCATGCTCGTCGTCCTCATCGGGGTCTCGACCTGACTGCAGTTCGTCATCGTAACCGACTTGAGTGGGCAAATGCTCACATTCGATGGCGTCTGGCACTTTGGAGAATCACGGTTTTCCCTGTACAGGGCAAATGGCAGACAGCGTGTATGGCGTCGTGTGGGTGATGTCAATGTTGTGGATCGAGTGGCCCATTGTGGCGGTGGGGTTATGGTATGGGCAGGCGTATGTTATGGAAAACGAACACAGGTGCATTTTATTGATGGCATTTTGAATGCACAGAGATACCGTGATGAGATCCTGAGGCCCATTGTTGTGCCATTCATCCACGACCATCACCTCATGTTGCAGCATGATAATGCACGGCCCCATGTTGCAAGGATCTGTACACCATTTCTGGAAGCTGAAAACCCAGTTCTTGCATGGCCAGCATACTCACCGTACATGTCACCCATTGGCAATTTACGTCTCTATGATGATTGGTTGATATCAGAAGGGAGGCTAGCCTCCCTTGCAAGGTTTCTTTTCTCAACACTCCTCAGCGCTGAAAGGGAACACTCGATGGTGATTGGCTAATTTTTTTTACCAACGGAGGCACGAGAGCTCAGCTCTCCCCCAGCCTCCCCCTCCCCTTCTATATTACTTTGCGGTTGTAATTACATCAGCAGATTCGGCACATTTGCGATAGAAAAGTGGCGCTTTCCAACTTCATATTAACATGTTATGGTATTACAGCTGTGAAATTACAAACAAAAAATACACATTCTGAGACATGAACTGAAATTAATTTTGAATTTTATGAACATTAAATCATCTTCCTCCCATTTTCACCTCAAAATTTTGGGGAAGCTGTGCCTCCCCTGCCTCCCCCGACGAGCCGCCACTGAGCAGCACAAGGAAAAAAATGGAATGTTCATAAAGATTTAAAATTTTTAACATCTTTTCAGATTGTGTGTAAAGTTTCAGACAATTTGCCACAAATTATTTACCCTAATGGGACAACGTCAGTTATAAATGACGGATCCCTAAAAAAAGGTCAAAGGTCAGATGAAGAAAACTAATTTTGGAAAAGGATTTTACTCCTAAATATATGTAAAATATAAAGTCAATTATTTTTTAAGCTGTAAATTCACAATGAGTCCTATAGAGTAATGTTGTACCAACTGATTCTCATGTATATTTTACAGCATTAGTTGAGAGATTTTTTTTCCTTGAGAAAATTTGGCATGTACTGTACCTGATATAGCTCCAAAATAATCGATACTGAATGGGAATCTAATCGAATTGGTAATCGAATCAAATCGCAAGCTTGTGAATGAGAATCGAATAGTGAAATTTGTGTCAAAACCCAGCCCTAATTAACAACTTCTGCATTATTAAATACCACTTATATTTTCCTCAGAAAGTGGACAATATTAGTTCAGCTTTTACTGTCAGCTGTGTACAGTTTTAATAAGAATGTTGTAGTAATCTTCACATGTTTTGTAGTATGTGACGTAGAGTAATGGCGCTTTAAGGAGACATATTATGCCCCTTTTTACAATATGTAATATAAGTCTCTTGTGTCCCCAGAATGTGTCTGTGAAGTTTCAGCTCAAAATACTCCACAGATTTATTTTTATAACATTTTGAAAATGCCTATTTTGAGTGGAAGCAGAAACATGCTGTTTTCGTGCCTGTCTCTTTAAATGCAAATGAGCTGCTGCTCCCCGCCCTCTTTTCAAGAACAGAGCTGTGCCATTACAGCTCGGACCTGCAAAAAACATCTGTTTTGGTTCTGATTTACCACTCTGAAATCATGCGTTTTAAACCATGTGAGTTTAAACTTCTGATATACGGTTTTCTGAGCGCACACATCCAAAGCACACGGACAGAAAGCTGCTGTCACACAGCATGCGAGTACTAAACTAAGTTCTCATTCACACACAAGTTTACATTAAAAACACACAAGTTACAAAAAAACAGTCGGTTATGTCTGTGAAGGTAAACAGCTGGGAAATAAATCGCATGTTTATTTTAGATCTGTGTGGCACCAACAATATACATTAATTAAATAGATAAATCCACTGCTCTCTTGTCTCCTCTGAGGCTGGGACAGTAGTGTTCTGTGCTCGTCTGTGCAGCCAAAGACAGAACAGTTAGCATGTTTTGCTCAAACTTTTGCCATGGCATTAGAACTGGTACACCGTTGTCGCTTGCGAAATCAAATCGTGGGTGTAAACTTACAGATTAAGGGGCGGTAATATTATAATGCGATCCCTTTGCCATGTCACCAAGGGAGCGAAATCTGACGTGCTCGTTTTTTCAGATGCTTGCAGAAAAAGGCTTCCCAAAACAAAGTTACTGAGTTAATCTTTTTCACGTTTCCTTGGTTGGTAGATGCACTGGGGACCTGATTATAGCACTTAAAACCTGGAAAAGTCAGATTTTCATGATATGTCACCTTTAAGGACATTTTTTTAACTGACCATCTCTCTTTCTGTTTCTCAGGAACTGCAGTTTGAAAGATTAACTCGAGAGCTGGAGGCGGAGCGTCAGATAGTGGCTACTCAGCTGGAGCGATGCAAACTGGGATCTGAGACAGGTGGCAGCATGAGCAGTATCAGGTAATGCAAATGTACTATGTGGGAGTGTGCTGGGACTATCTAATGCTTCAACAAGTCTCTGTAATGAGACCATGCTGCCTGAAGGATGTAATTGTACAGTTAAGGAAACACTGACAATATTCTTGACTTCGTGCAGGGGTCAGAGTGGAGTTCATGCAATTTCAGCTCATATTGTGATTTACATACAGCACCGTGAGTTTGGATGTGTAAGAGAGAGTGCACATGTGTGCATGGGTCCACATGTTGGTGGATTTCCATTTGCGGATCTAAATGCTAATGCTCTTGCGTACATGTGCACATGTGATTCTGTCACATGAGGGTACCCAGGTTAAACTAGTTTCCACATCAGAAGAACAGGTTTCTTCTCATGCCTTGGAGAACCTCATAGACATTTACTGCATGACAGAGCCCCACCTGAGCCCCGGATTCACACACATTACTTGGATTTGATTGTTTTTATAAAAAAATAATTACATACTTGACCTACAGCCATGGTCAGAATTATTGGCACCCTTGGTAAATATGAAAATTCCCATTTCCATCATCAGGGCAATAGTTAAGAATTTCCGATCAACAGAAAATGTTACAAATCTGCCTGGAAGAGGACGTGTCTATATCGTCCTAATGCACGGTGAGGAGGAGAGTTTGAGTGGCTAAAGACTCTCCAAGGACTACAGCTGGAGAATTGCAGAAAATAGTTGAGTCTCAGGCTCAGAAAACCTTAAAAAAAGAAAATCAAACAGCACGTATATCACATGTTGTTTGGGAGGGTTTCAAGAAAAAAAATCAAGAAGAGAAAATGCTCTCATCCAAAAACAATCCCCAGCATATTCTGTTGTCAGACACGACTGGAACTACAAATGGGACTGGCTTCTATGGTCAGATGTAACTAAAAACACTCAAGATGGGTTTGGTGCACACAGGGATAAAAAGTACCCCATGTTGTGGGCCTATATTTCTGCTGGAGGTCCTGGACATCTTGTTTAGATACATGGCATCTTTGATTCTATCAAATCCCAACAGATAAAAAATAAAAAATTGACTGACTCTGTTAGAAATCTTATAATGGGCCATGTTTGGATCTTCCAACCGGACAATAATCCAAAAACAAACCTTAAAAACAACACAAAAATGGGTCACTGGGCACAAAACCAAGCTTCTGCTTTGGCCATTCCAGTTCCCTGACCTGAACCCTATAGAAAATGTGTGTGGTGAACTGAAGAGGAGAAGCACCGTCATGGAGCTGGGAATCTGAAGGGTCTGGAGTGATTCTGGATGAAGGAATGGTCTCTGATCTCTTGTCAGGTGTTCTCTAACCTCATCAGGCATTATAGGAGAAAACTCAGAGCTGTTATTATGCCAAATGATATGAATGTTTCAAAAAGCATTGAATAAAAGGGTGCCATTAATTGTGTCCAATGTGTATTAGAGAAAAATATTTATGTCATAATGATATTTCCCCCCATTTAAAATTTTTATTCTCCAATGAAAGGTTAGATTTATGTGAATATTTTAAATAAAATATCAAAATGATTAACAATGCAGATTTATTTTCACAGCCTTCTTTGATCATATTTACCAAGGGTGCCAATAATTCTGACCACGACTGTATTTATTTATTTAAATTTTATTATAATCAGTATAGAATAAATAAATAATAATAACAACAATAATAATAATAATTATCATCACCATCATTATTATTGTTATATCTAATGGTATATAAATATATTTTTTTACATTTATTTTATTTAAATATATTAGTTGTTTTATTTATTTAAATCGGTACTTTTTATTATTAATATTACTATTTTATTGTAATCAGTATGGATTAAATTATAATATCAAAATTAATAATAATAATCATCATCATCATTGTTATATTTAATGTTATAAAATTATTATTTTTAAATTTATTTTATTTATTTAGTTGTCTATTTATTTATTTAAACCAGTATTATTTTATTAAAATATTATTTTTAAATGGATGTATTATATGTTTATTTATTTGTTTATTTATTTAAATCAGTATTATTTTTTATTATGAATTACTATTCTATTATTACTATTTTATTATAATCAGTGTAGAATAAAGGATATTAACAGTAATAAAATTCTTCATTGTCATTATTGTTATATTTAATCTTAAAAATATGTTTATATATATATTTTATTTATATATATATATATATATATTAGTTGTTTTATTTATTTAAATCAGTATTATTTTATTATTAATATTACTATTTTATTATAATCAGTATAGAATAAATAATAATATTAGCAATCATCATCATCATACCATAATTGTTATATTTAATGTTATAAAATTATTATGTTTAAATGTATTTTATTTATTTAGTTGTCTATTTATTTATTTAAACCAGTATTATTTTATTAAAATATTATTTAAAATGTATTTTATTTATTTGTTATTTATTTATTTAAATCAGAATGATTTTATTACTAATTACTATTTTATTATAATCAGTATAGAATAAAGAATATTAACAGTAATAATAATCTTCATCATTATGGTTATATTTAATGTTATAAAATGTTATTATTTGTATTATTTCTAATTGGTTTTATTTATTTAGTTGTTTTATATATTTATATATTGTATTTATTTAGTTGTTTAATCTATATCAACCAGCCTTATTTTATTATAATAAAATAATAATACTAAGAATAATAACAAGTATATAAATTATATATAAATTTATAAAGATAAATTGTGTGCATGTGTGCATTTGTGAATGAGATACTTTCTTTATCACCTTTCTTTAAAAAAATGCATGCATAAAAATATCTATAACGAATCTAAGAGTTATTTTAATTGAGTGTCACAATAGCTTCCCCAGCATCCAATAGCAATTAACATCATTTAGCTTTAGTTGACATTCCTCACACTTGTTAATTATGTGCATCTCTTGGCGGCTTGACCTTCCAGGACTCTTGAATTGGATGTGAGAGTTTTTTGGTTCTAGTGAAAGAGAAACATTGAAAGTTTTTCCATCTGAGCTCTTTTTTTTATGACCTTCTCATTTTCACAGCAGTCACAGCAACTCTCAGATGGTTCAAATAAAATCTTGAGCTTCTTAAATGCACTGTATGAAGACGTTTGACTGTTAAGAATTTTGCTTCAGTGGGACAATGTGTTCATGTACCTGTGTAAACCTAAGAGAAGGCTGTCCTTTAGTTTTACCACCCATTTTTACTCCCTATTCACAGATGTCTTTTATGAAAGGAATCAGTCTTTAACCGGTTTGAAGAAAACGACAGGGCAAGAAAGAAATAAAGTCCTGCTGCTCTCAGAGCCTCAAGGTTACCACTTAGAGCTTGTTCGGGAAGGAAGCCATAATGTTACTCTGCTACATAATATTGATTTAGCCTTTTAATTTGCCATAAGTGAACCGTTCCACAATAGCTATCTGATTCAGACTTTCATTCAGCTGATGGTTCCAGAGGCCCTCTGTGAAAAACACTTATTCAAACCTGCTCTCTCATGGTGTTGCTCTGTTTGTGGTTTAGGTTATGATTGACTTGTCCACAACAAATGCAGTACTTAATCAGTAATGCTTTATCAAGCTGCTCTCGAGTCCTTCTTGGATATTTCTATGAGAGGAAACTGTAATTATGACATGTGAATTTGGACAGAATGAAAATCTGTTTTCTAATGTACAGTACAGCTACATATACAAGTCAGCAAACTAATCAGTCATAATTTCTGGTAATATTTTAATCAATCAATCAATCAATCCCCCCCAAAATAATAATTAAAATAATTAATTAATTAAAAAACAAAATAAAAATAAATAATTTTGGATAATATTTATTATCCAATTATGTAATATTTTTGGGTAATTTATTATCCAATATTTTTGGATAATATTTTCATTACATTTCTACATTTTTAGATATTCATATAAATATGTGATCCTGGACCACAAAACCAGTCTTAAGTGTCAATTTCTTGAAATTGAGATTTATGCATCCTCTGAAAGCTGAATAAATAAGCTTGCTGTCCATTGATGTATGGTTTGTTAGGATATGACAATATTTGGCTGAGATACAACTATTTGAAAATCTGACATCTGAGTGTGCAAAATAAATCTAAATATTGAGAAAATCGCCTTTAAAGTTGTCCAAATGAAGTTCTTAGCAATGCATATTACTAATCAAAAATGAAGTTTTGATATATTTACAGTTGGAAATTTGCTAAATATCTTCATGTAACATGATCTTTACTTAATAACTTGGTGATTTTTGGCATAAAAGAAAAATCGATAATTTTGTCCCATACAGTGTATTTTTGGCTATTGCTACAAATATATCCCAGCCACTTAAGGCTGGTTTTGTGCTCCAGGGTCACATATATTATTCTATATATTTTTGTATATAGTTTGTAGTATTTAAATCGGCATTAATTAAATGCAGCACAGCCAATATGATTTAATTCCTTTAGCATTATATTATATTATATTATATTATATTATATACAAAAACCTTTACAGTCGCATTAATGCACCTCATTCATTTATAGTTATTTATTTTGTGAGGTTCACCCAATAATCGATTTTCATAAATAATAGTAATCACTGTTAGTAACCATTATTAAAAAGATGCATAAAGAGTATATTGCATATTGTATATTGTTTAGTATCATATTTATTTTTAACTCTATCTGTCAGGGGCTGGCGTCTGGTGTTCTCCCTCTCACCACCAGAGGTCGCCATCTCCCATCCTCCCGGACTCTTTCTCCGTCACCTTGACACCACACACCTGGGCACCCACTCACACACACACACAGCTGTCGCCCATCCGGGACTCCATCACCTGCACTCCACACACCTGTGCACACACTCACTCTCACACAGCTGTGGCCCGTCACGAGGACTATTTAGGCGCCTTCCCCACGCCACTCGGGGCGGATGATTAATGTTTGGTTGAGTTGTGTCACGAGTTTACTGTTTGTTTGTAGTCACGAGCGTTACGAG